CAAAGCCCAGTGTAGTCTGTCTGATTGTTCCAGGGCTGCAACATGTTGCTGCCACTGGTGGTCAAAAAAAAAAAAAAAAATTGGATGCAACGTCGCTGGTAGCTTGTGTCTCTTGAGCCACTGATCAAACAGAGCTCTGGACTTGGCCATCCAGTGATTGCGGTCTGGGAAAAAGGTGCTCGCGGCACTGGCCGATAAGATGCTCGAACAGCCTGGTAGTAGCTTGGTCAGGTTCTCCAAACCTGTGGCTACGTGGCCAGACACGAAGCAATGAGCAGGAAGTTTTCCTGCAAACTGCTCACACGGACAGTGCACGGACTCCAAATCAAAGTCGTGCTCCCACATCGTTTCTTCCCAAGATCGGAAGTTGTGGAGAAATTTCTTGATACTCTGGTGCGGAACTTCACGTAGGCTGTTCTTTGGAACATTGAAAGATGGAAAAAGATACTTGTACCGGAGGATGAGGTCTTTTAACCACTTCTCGCACTCCTTGGAAAACGAAGGAGACGCAGTTGGCAGGACTCCCAAAGGTCGGGAAGTCCGTGGCCAGTGCATCTTCTTGCGAAACTTGACTACACCTTTGAGTATTCCTTGCACCCTGTTGCGATGAGGGTTTTCGATATTGCGACTGAGTTTGATGAGGGCATACACTTCCTCGTCAGCCGTCTTGTTGGATCGGAGCAGCTTCGCTGTTTCAAAGGATGCTCGGGTTCTCGATGCCAGCTTAAACAGAAGCCCCCAGGCTAACTCCCGAGAGTCATGAATGAAGAATTTCGAACTACGACCAAACATGCGCTTTCGCAGTTTGCGCCAAAGTCGGAGGCTAAAGGTGCAATACAATGACCCTCTGCGTTTGGACGAAATCCGGAAACCGAGAGCGGTCTTCTTAATGAGAGACATTGCTCTGGGATACTTCAAAGGTGCCTGCCATTGAGCAATGAGTTCGTGCTCAACAGTCCAAGCTCGCTGGTAGTTGTCACAAAATTCCAGCGGAACAAGCACAAACTGGAAAAGGTCGTGTTGGGAT